GACATAAATTCCCATAGACCAGAGTGTTGCCCTGGAGTCCTCAGGCTGTAGAAAGAGGAGTCCAGGTGGTCAATGAAAAGCTTGGGCCCTTCACTGGAAATGTCATCTACAGCATTCTGCTCCTTTCTTATGAGGCGAGAAGACTGAAACCAAGATGTTCTTCTCATAATCACAGCCATGGTCATGGATTTAGAGCATCTAGAGCAGCCTGCAGGCAACTAACTGGCCTTCAGAAATGAGGGACAGAATTTGGTGTCTCTTGTCTTGTGGCAGGTGTTCAATAAAGTGTGTGAATTTCGAGTAATTGTTGAAATCCTATTTCATCATCAAGGCCTGATAGTCGGCAATTCGAAATTGAAGAGCAGATGATGAGTAGTATTTCCTGTCTAGTAAGTCCAGTTGTTTGAACTCCTCATCCAGAGGGGGTCTAAAGCAAGTCTGACTGTTCCCTTTGCTGGCTATGTCCACTCTTAGGGAATTAGGGGTAGGATAGGAGAAAAGATGCTCCATTCCCTTAGGTGGAATAGAATTTTTTTTTTTCCATCTGTCCACTTACAGGTGGGTAGAACTGTGGCAGGTGTTTGCCACAGAGTGTGAGCGGGAGATAATAATCTTTCCCTTGGGATTGATGTTAAATTACTCACCAAAGAGAGTGCTGGGACTCCCGGCCTTCTTCCAAGAGGATCAGTACAGAGTTTGCCAGGCACTTCATGAGGTCCTAGAAGACCCTTAAGTCATCAGCACATGATGGTGGCAGTGGCATTGCTGCCTCCTCTGGAGAATGAGGACCAGCTGGCTGAGGAAGCAAGACCTCTTCAATCTGTGGTTCTTGCTTCTCCTGTGTACCATCTAATACTGACAAAGCGTGTGGTACTGGAGACTAGTTTATCGGTACTGGAGGGTGATACGGTACTGCTGGGAGCTGAAGTTTCTTTTTGGATGACATCCTGAAGAATTGTTCTTCAAAGCGGCCCTGTGATTCCCACTCTACACTGTGCCTGCTAGAATCAGAGAGGGGGTCACCAAACATGGTCACAGTCCCAAGACCTAGGAGGTTTGGTTAGTTTTGGGAGACCCTCTTCATTAAATGGGCTCACAGGAGCATCACAGTATGGTATAGAGGTTAGGGAAAACTAAGTTTGGGGCGGGCCTCACGTATTGTTACCAGTACCAAAAGATTGGCGGCTCAACTGAGAATTGGCATGCAGGCGCCAGGGCTGTATTGGGGGGGGGGGTGTCTATGATAGACCTCTTTGAAATGAGGGACTCCAGTTCATCCAGAACTACGAGGTGCTCTGTGGAAAGGAATCTGGAAGGCAATGGAGGGCTATGATAGCCAGTGGCCAAAGCCAGGGTCAGGACTGGAGTGGATATTGGGAAGTAGCTGGTGAATGAAGTACTAAAGAGTTCTCCAGATCTTCTCGGACCTCAGAGTTATGGTAAGATGATGGTACCGGAGCATGTGGGGTAGGTGTGTGTGTTGTGATGCCAAGATGTCAGATGGCACCAATGACAATGGCGCCCTGAGAGTAGAGAGCTTGTCCATGTGGAATTTTTTATGCAGTACTGGTGCCTCAGTGCTATCCTTTGAGGGATGCGAGGTCTCCTGATAAGTCTTTTGGGGTGAACCACCCCTCGTTTGTTTCCCTGCTTGGGGAAGTTTGCTTCTTTTCCCTGAAGGTCTTGGTGTCAAGGGCTGCTGACAAGGTTCCAGCAGACACTGGAGTAGCCTGAGATGTTGAGGCTCATGTACTGGGGCAGGGGAGGCAGCAGATACATCTGGAGCTAGGAAGAGTTCAGTATAGTTTCCCTGTCTTTCTTGGACCTGCCTTTGAACCCCAAGTAGACCGTGCACTTTGAAGCAATGTGGGATACACTCAAGCACCTCAGGCAATTAGAGTGTCCATTGCTATAGGAAAAAAACCTTTGGCAGATCTGATAGGGTTTTTAGGCATAACCAAGAAGATCTAGACACTAACTCCAACTTTTAAGGGGTAAAACTATTCCCTCTCCCCTCCCCCCAGCGCACAACTGTGCTACAGTTGAAATAAAACCAATGAAATAAAATAAAACAAGTAAAGGTTTCACAGGGAAAAGGCAGAAAGCTGAAAACAGTGGACACCAAATTTCTCTGTCTTGAACTGCAGGTAGTTAAGAAGGAGCTGAGTAGGGGCGGGCCCACATCTCCTCATATGACCTCATAGGGAGACATGAGGCACTACTCTTCACTGGTGCGGACCCATGGAGACTATTCTGTATTCTCCAGTTAAGAGTGCATGGGCACGCACACATCCTACAGAGGAGCACCCATAGAGACATATACTCAAAGAACTAAGAGTTCTCAAGAAACTTAAGAGTAAAATGGCTGAGCTGCTTCTAAAAATATGTAATCATTAATATCAGCTCCTATACTGGAAGGCTATGAGTAACTAATGGCTATTAGCCAGGATGGGCAGGAATGGTGTCCCTAGCCTCTATTTGCCAGAAGCTGGGAATGAGCGACAGGGGATGGATCACTTGATGATTACCTGTTCTGTTCATTCCCTCTGGGGCACCTGGCACTGTCGGAAGACAGGATACTGGGCTAGATAGATCTTTGGTCTGATCCAGCAGGGCCATTCTTATGTTCTTATATTCTAACTATTAAAAAAGCAAAAGGCACTAAGGGTGATGCTAGGATTTACAGACCCATGATCCTTACTTCAGTACCAGGAGAATAAGTAGAAATTATTATTAAAATTAGAATAAAAAAATCACACCTAGATGAAAATGATAATGGGAACAAAGAACTGGGCATCATGAAGTATGGGCTGGATGAATGGACTGTAAGGTGGATAGAAAGCTGGCTGGATCGTCGGGCTCAACGGGTAGTGATCAATGGCTCTATGTCGAGTTGGCAGCCGGTTTCAAGCGGAGTGCCCCAAGGGTCGGTCCTGGGGCCGGTTTTGTTTAATATCTTTATTAATGATCTGGAGGATGGTATGGACTCCACCTCCAGCAAA